TTAAAAAAAAAAAAAAAAAAAAAAAAAATGTCCTTCAGAATGGAATACACGTTATATCTCTAACGTATTAGATAGATCGTAATATAAATTGCTTCCTTTATCGTTTTATCATCTTTTTGTCTTTTTCAACGTTTCAAGATATTCTGCGTTCCATACTCTAGTTTGTCGTCCATTTCTCCTCAAAGAAGAACAAATAGGTGAGAGAGAAAAAGGAATCGTTGCATTTTTATCCGGTTTTTTCAAGTAAACAGCTTGAACCAGAGTTGACGTTAAATACGAATGAAAATGGAAAACCGTGGTTGCCTTTTCGCTGCAACCGGAAAATCGATCGGACGTTTTGTCGAAGTTCAAATCTAAGTTCGTTTGTCACAGTGAAAAATGCATCTTAGAGCTGCGTATTTTCTCAAGTAACGAGGGAAGAAGTTAAGAACAGGAGGTGGTTGCGAAACGACAGGATAAACCAACGTAGATCGACGCAACGATCGAGACATAATTGGCACGTTCCTTTGTGCCTTGATAAAAGATTCTCGCTAAATTCTCACTCATTTGAAACTTCCGTGTATTCTCTTTCATGTTGTTCGATCCACTCATATTTCTTTTCGTTTGTTTTAATATTTTTATCCGCGAATCGAACAAAACAAAATCGAATAAAAGGTCGAAGAATAAACAGAATACAAGTTCATTGGCATTTTCCAAAGAAGATACGTTTTGCGTTAAATGTTATCATTTCTCTGTTCTAAACATTTAAACAAAATTATCGGCCATGTTTTTGCGCGAAAAATCAGTGAACGCTATAGAGTAAAGAAAATTTATTCTTTATATTATTTTTTATATCCATTTTATTTATCGAATGTACGTATCGATTATGATTTTCGGATGATCTTGAATATAGAAATTGCAAACGGTGCTAGGACCATACGTGCTGTTTTTCTTTGAAAGTTGTCTGTGTATAAATACTCGAAGCGATACCTATCGGCATCGATACAACGTTTCAAAGCGAGCAATCGTCAATCGCTATTCTCTTCCAATTGCTTCTGGCATCAGCGGCAATTCTAATTGGGAGATTTCATTGTCTCGTGGCAAGAGCTAACGCGATTAACCTTTTCGAGGGCTTAATCTATGCGCGAGTACGTTTTTCGTGTCTTTATAAAGATGGTGAACGAATAGCGCAGAAATAATCTTAAAAAACTGGCCTCTGCACGACTACCTCCGCCACGTTTCAGCTCCATCGATTTTTTGGCTTTTATACGAGGAAAGCGAAAAGCAACTTTTATCGTCAAGTCTTTTCACATATGCACGTTGACGAAACTGTATCGCCAAGGATACCGGTGTATATTCATCCGCTGTTTCATATAGTCTCGTTATTTGTATCACTGGTTTTTCCTATCGCGTCTAATGCCAAACGTCCCTATAAATAGATTCAGATTCCGAATTCAGATTTCAGGCTTAATCATATAGAATTGTTTTTAGGCCGCTATCTTTCAGAAATCTAAAATTTTTTACCTTTTTCTAATTATCTAATTAACTAAATCGATCGTCGTGTTTTCTATAAAACCAGCGAGTGTTCCGCTGCTTAGGAATCCAATCTAAATAAAGTAAATTCGCCAATTTTTCAATCCCAAGGAAGATTCTACTACAAAGCATATCTTTGTCGAAAGAAAATAATTGCAAGTGTCGAATGTACATAGGCTGCGTCTGTGTTACGCAACGATTGACTTTTTCCCGCCAACATGTATCTTCGTAAAGCAAAGAAGTAAAATGTATTTAACGCCTATGGACGTTCGTAGAATGGAAAGGATTTTTTAGACTTTCCTTTCCGAAAGAAACTACCGAAAGCCGATCGCGGAATCGAAGCTTGGCTTAGACATCGAACGTTTAATAGTTGAATAGCAGCGCGTCACATTTCATTCTCGTGATTTTGTTCGTTGGTAATACTGCGATATTTGCTCTAAATCCCGAAGCAGGTACTCGTGCAGAGAAGAGTGGACAGAGTTCAATAAAGTTGACCTATGGCTCGAAACGGCTCTATAAATCTTCCATCGAACGCAACGTCGCCTCTCAATCTGTTAGCATCAAAATATTTTGCATATATCGATTTCCGGCCTTCGAGTGTACACGCAAATGCGGCTGGACACTGAGCCAATAATAAATCCTGGATTTTTCATTACAATAGAACAGAGTGAGAGAGAGAGAGAGAGAAAGAGAGTATTCATGAAATAGAAAAGTGAATGGTATCCCTTGTTGTTAAGAAACGTGCCTATTGAGTATTAAATTCAAATCGATCGAAGCAAAGTAATAGAGACGTTGACACTAAAATTATTCTACCCGTGTTCTCCGTCCGATGAAATTAATCATCCGAATATTAATAAAAGAATTTCAATCTTAACAAGCGATCGAGCAAGTATAAATATCCAAAAAATATTCATATGATTAATAACATTACACTTTTTCGATCGATATACATAAATATATACGCGTATATACGCTTAGATAGTACATAATTTACAGATAAATACACAATGTTGACTAAACATAATAATTTAGTAATAAATTTACATCGATTTACGATGGATTACAACTTGAATATTAACTAGGAAAAACAATGAGCTTTTACTCCCTGTGTAATTATATCAAATAGCGTTCTCAAGAGGTTATTTAAACATACCCGAATTATAAATCATCCAGTAGGTACGAGATTATGAAAATGAAGAAATCCTTCCATTGTTCATTTTTCAAAGAAAATCCCTGAGAAAATGTAAATGTGGTATAAATGAAAAGAAGCTCCGTACGGAACTGGTTCAAAGGGAAAGAAGATAATAGACATAAAGGTATATCGGGTGATATAGCTGAGGGAAGTTGCATATGTGTGTGTGTATATATATATATATGATGTAATATTATAAATTTATGTAAATTTAAATGTACAAAAATGCATAGAACGCGTAATAATATACGATAACAATAATGTACAATACTATATAAAGTATCCGAGGTAAGATTTTTTATAATATTTAGAGACTGAAACTAATCTGTGCTTGGATTTTACTATTTTTTAATCGATCGCGTTCGTAAAACTATGTATTTGCGCGAACATTCGCAGCCTAGTAATTCTACGTTAGGATACGATTAACGGCAAAGTATTTTAATACGACATTCGTACATACTCCTCCGTATTTAAAATTTTTACCAATAAAATATGACTCCAACTATGATGAAACGTACGATGAAAAGTTGAAGCACGCGCAAACTATTTTAACGGGTCGGAAATTTTTGTGTTCGCGTTATATACAAAATAAAAATTTCAAAATATTTTAATTTCAAATATTTAATACCATTTAATATCGCTATTATATGTACAGCGATTATTTCTACATCTTTCAATTAGAACTATTTTTCTTGATGTTTTCGATATTGGATAGAACGATATTTGAAATATTTGAAAATCAAACTTAAAAGTCAGTTTCGTGAGATTTATTTGTACGAAATAGAATCTCGTGTTCTGTATGAACTGTTAAAATACTATGATACGATACAATCTCGATTTGTAGGGTATAATTTTCAATACCGTTACGTACAGTATTTCTTTGTACGATCAAAATTTTATCCAGTCATACTTCTTCGTATTTGCGCGCATTTATATTTCTGTCGAATATTCCAGCATTATGAAGTGGTGAAAAAAATATTCTCTGCAAGAGGTAGTTTAAAAAACACGGCCGAATTTAGTTGCTCCGGATAGAAATCGCGAATAAGTTGTCCAAAGTTGTTCAGAAACTAGCGATAGAATGCGCAACTATTCATACGCATTGTTCAAGTTGATAACTATCGACACTATTGACAATAATTTGTTGCAAATATCAAAACGGTCGATCCACGAATATTTCAGTTATATAAAAGCGTAGTTCATCCGTTACACGCATCCGTTTTATTATTATCGAGAAATGAACGAACACCTTTTACTAAAATGCTCGATATTAATTGAAACGGTAAATTTGAAATATTTAAAACTGATTTCGCAAGTTTTATTACTATTTAATACAGCTACGTGCTATATGTTATCTTCGGGCAAGATATACGTATAAAAAGTTAGATTTTTCTAAAAGAACGCTACAGATAGAAATATGCAGAAATATGTATACTACAGATACGCTAAAAAAGCGAAAGAAAGAAATTCTTCCATCGAATATTTTATTCTTCGTTTACGATTTAACTTCCGTCATCGTACTAAATTAATCCAATCTTTCCCCTAAATTTTCCTCTGTCCCATCAATTTCAAACATTACGTAGCATTTTATTTCAAACGTTGCGCGAATTCTAGTAATAGCTTTGGAATTATATTAGAGGGAAAATTGGGAAAATTGATTATATAAAATAGATAAATTTTAAATGTAAATATAAAAAGGTATAATAGGGAGAATCGACGTTTTATCGAAAAGTATAAAACTTGGATGAAGAAGCTATTACAAACCACGTAAGAATTTATAATTCATGTAAGATAGAACGTTGAATATTCGTAGGATTTTCGGAAATTTGCGCGTGTATTGAAAAACGAACTGGAAGTTTAGCAAAAGCCTGGCATTCTGCTCGTAGGGAAAAGGGTTTGATGAACAAGGTGTAAGTTCAAAATGGCATTCAACCGTGGCTTTTTATAGAGGCGTTCTTCTAAACGTCTAGCTCCTCTGAAACGGGTTCTATCGACTTTTGTACGTCTTTTTCGCAACCAGCTGCCTGTCGAAAGCAAATGAGATGGTGAGCTTGTAAATCTGACACGGCGGTTCCTATTCATTCGCGATTTCACACAGAAATGGTTCCGTCTCGACTTGAAAAACGAGCGTCGCGATCATGTTGAACCTGAACTGTCCTTGGAGAGACTTTCAAGAGTTACACGCACAGATCTCTGTGAATTTTTCGCAGCAAAATCCGACTTTGCCAACGTTTGTATTTCACAGAGACTTAACGCGTAAACATCGAGTAAAATAATTTTTAAGGTGGGTTTATACCAGATTCGTCGATGTGCCGTGCCATTTTTATTCACTTAAAATCCGTATCTCTACCGATGGACCTATCAAAGTATCGAATATATTTCCTCGATATTTCGTCACACAGTCTCGTAATGATTTCAGGCTGTCTAAGGACGATTGTGAAAGCTGTCTCTGTAGCAAGTTTCGTTATCCGTAATTGCAAATACGAGATGAACTTTGTTATTTCAACAACGGATGATTTGTTCAGCGATATTAGGTGCTTCGCTTTTATCTATAGCTTTTACTTTCGTCGTTAAAACAGAGATATAGACTTAACTGCGATTTGTGTGGAAATCTCGCAACAGAAATGTAAATATAATAAGGAAAATGACTGGCAATAGAATTTTTCGATCGATCTGATGTACGAAGGAGGCGTTATATCTTGACGCGTCCTCTCCATTTATATGCCTCAGTTTGGTTCAAGTGTTACAACGCCATACATTTGCAACGAAATAGGCGTATATCTGCAAAGTTGTGGTTCGTGGCTTTAAAGCAAACAATAGGGTCGAGATACAGCGACAGAGTGACCAAACGATATCGTGGGATTTATCCTTCGATAGCCTTAAACGGCCAATTCAATTTACACACAGAGGATACTAGTACGTTTTATACAGCTACGAAGGATACTGACATCGGACGGTGTACCAACGGTAAACAAAATCGATATCGAAGGTGACGCCAGTAGAGTACACGTTGCACTGATATAAAAGTGTCGATTTGTTTACCAGAAATCGACAAAGCTTAGTAACACGATTGCTAACTGACAAACAATCGTCGAACGGCATCTGACTATGGTCGAATAACCTCGTTTGTTTGCTTCCACGATAAACGAATCCGACGTAATCGAAACATATTCTAGTATTAAATCGGTAAGCGATACGAATTAGGTAAATGGAGGCGCATTTCCGCCGAGTTTGACAGTTACGCATCGCGAAATGAAACGTAGCTATAACTACTACTCGCGAATATTTTATTCTATACCATAATCGTATTATTAACCGTGAAATAAGTAGTTTCACGCGAGTTGCGAAAAAGATGTTGGCAATATTTATACACGCTATCGTATGTATGTTCGTCGCCGTATATCACGTTAATCTCGACGCATCAAAAACGCGTGGAAAGTTCGAAATATTCGAGAAACTTGTAATAAAACTGTATTTACGCAAAAAGTATACTGGTATTTTATCCAATGGAGTTGTCACTGTGTATACCGCGTTGTCACTGTGATATTACGCGAGACAAATACGAACGCTGAAATTCCTTTGATATCTTTGTTCTTCTGCCAGTGTTCGATCAACGTCAAACGCGAAGAAATAAACAAACAGAAAAAAGAAATTTAACCGAGTTACTCGGTTCATCGGAGTTGGTGAAAAAACGAAATGTTACCGCGCTGTGCATGGTAAACGTAATAAAGTTGGGTCGACAAAGTTCGGACAATTTCGGACCAGTTATTACCTTACAAAACTAATCCACGTGGATTCGATCCACATTACCGCTGGTGATGCTATCCTGTGGCTCATCAGAGGAAAGGCAATTTTATTTTCGAAACTGACACGCGATTATCCCAGGGCGAAATAAGCTTTGATGGGGGCTACGTCGGTGAAAGCAAGGGACTCGTGTCTAGCTTTTGTAGAGGTTGTGATTCAAGAGAATATCCGTTGAGTGGATTGGCATGCACAAACCAGACACTCGATCTAATTAATCAGCGACCCGTTATTTCATCGCAAGTACGTTACGCTGCATCATTCGGAAAGTACTACTCGACACAAAGCGAGCAATAACACAGCGAGCGATTTCTGGCTTGCGTGTGGAGCATAAAAAATAAAGCAACACCGCGGACGATCTGGATTCCCTGAGACTGACAAAAAAAAAAGAAAAAAAAAGAAAAAATAAAACAGAAAGAAAGAAAGAAAAAAAGGCAAAATACCGAACGGAATAATAACAAGTAGATTTCGAAATCGTTAATCCACCAAGTGTTGCCTTTCGTGATAAAAATGCGATATTATTTGGAAAATGTATCGTGCGTTGAAAGTCATGCCACAAAAGGGATATCGAAGTATAAGATATACGTACGTGTCTTTTCTATTATAACGAAATTGAAAATTTCGTTCTATAGCAATAAGTATCGTTTAAAGCAACATTTTGAACCAATTATACGTTTTAATCAATTGTAATGCGAGAACGGTAAAATTACTGTAATTGAGCAAAAAATTACCGAGTTTGTTGGAAGAGTTCGCAAAGTAACAATTTATTGGAATTTTAATATTACCAGAGACTGGCGATAAGAAATCTCATTTGCGTATCAAATTGTGTCGTGATTATGTTTGAACCAACTAATGCATTAACACCACTCCAAATTGATTCTATTCCCTAACCAACTATTTGGATTACTGATAATTTGTTCCTGATTTAAAGGCATGTTTGTACGTGACATGTATTAATATAGCGAGGCTAATGCTCGGAAATAGTTCGAGTAATTAATAAACGTAACGTTTAGTGGCATGTTTATTAAGTTATATAAGCTTTGAACAAAATTTCGCCGAGATAAATTTTTCTAAATCGATTTGGTGGCAAATTTGCGGCAAAGATAATTTCTAAATGTATATCACATACTTTTAGAATTGCCCCTGGATCTTATTGTTATTGCCTTTGATCTTATTATCGTACTATCTTACAAACTATGATTCTCAAATAAATAATATTCGTGGCGAAGAAAAATAAAGTGTAAACTAGGGATTTACCTTTGTATTTTGTATTACTACCAGTAGAGTTCGAAGATGTTATTGCTAAAACATATAGAAAAGATACATTATAATTATTTTATTAAATTATTTATACTAAAATATATTTATATATATATATATATATATATTATATATATACAACCAGATACGATGATTAGATCAGACGAAACGTCTTATCGTTAGATACATATATGGCTATATATTGGTTATTTAGAATATGTACATTGAGATATTCGGGTGCTAATATTTTAAGGCGTAACGAGTATAAACAACAGCGGAGAATTTTATAACAACATACAAGATTGAATTTTAGAGAATAGAATTGTATTGTATAAACGTTATACGTTGTCGTTGTATAAATAAATTCAAAAGATTTTATCTCTTTCCGTAGAATTTAAAGGTCTCGTGTAACTACGACTTTAAATAAAAAGAGCTATTTGTCGCGATAGCATACGAATATTATAAAATAACGATATAAAATATAAAAGATCACGTCATACTCTTCGATATCAACCGACCAAACGATACGTACTGGATGATCGGAAACCAAGTTTCACGACCGTCGGATCGATGGAGAATACTTTCAACGGTATAATTCTGTAATTTCTAATAAAAAGCAGGATAACTTCAAAATTGTAGTAAAAAAAGATAAAATTTGTTATCGTGATATTACGGTGAAGCGATGAAATCTGGTTTTTAGAAGAAACGTGTTGAGAACACGAAGAGATTATTCTGATAAAATTTTATATCACGACAAAGCTACCGTTACGAGGTATTTAAAGAGTTTAACAAAAGGCTTCAACTAGGAAGTAATTTTCGATGAGTTTCCTTAAGCGTGGTTGTTTTAACGAGATGAGCCGCCCGCTCGTCTTACTATAGGCTGAAAAATCGTCTGCAAAATCCAGAAAATTTTATCGACGTTCTACTTTATTAGCAGTAAAATCGCTTCTATTTGTAAAAATAATGCGACCCTTTCGTAGTTCTAAAGAATATAATAAAGCGCCGAAAGAAAATTAAAGCGCCGTTGAGACGATACGTATTTTTAAATAAAGATTTGTTGCAAATTCGGTAAAATTTTGTTTCCGTATACAGGCAGTGTACAGATAATGTTATACGAATGTTGGAAAATTACTTAATTATACTCACGATAAACTTTGATGGTGCCATCGGTGTCTCCTAATGCATTTCTAGACACACACTTATACGATCCAAAATCGGATGGACTGACGGAACTTATCGTTAATTTCATATGAACTTTATACGCGTTGTCCAATAGTACAGGCTCGTATTTCCCTCCTGAAAGAAATTATAATCCTGTCAATTCATGAATCGATGTCGACATTAATTACTATTGAAATTATATCGCTTTATTATTTTGACACGTTATTAAAATAGAAGTCTACATACAGCTGACGCGGATCTTATTCTTCATTCCACATTAAATAAAGAATATATCAATAAATTTTATTCGAAGGAATATTTATTCGGTACTTGTGCGAAACTTTATTGCAATTTAACGAAACGTATTTCCCGAAGTATTGTATTAAAATTTGAAATTGCAATATTTTGCGAATCGTATAAAATATTTTACAAAATATTACATAAATATCGAAATTCCGATTACGATCACTATTCGACTTAAAATTATTAAATCGAATAGGTAATTTTATTACATTATTATTTAAATCGATATATTGATTAGGATAAAGTAAAGTAGAGTAACAATAACATATATGTACGAAGACAAATTACTTAGGGATGAAGTTGACGTTAAATATGTACGTATCAACAAAATACGATTAAATGGAATAAAATTTGTAATTTGCTTTAACGAGATAACTATCATGCGTCGAAATCGAATTTAGTAAAACGTCGATAATGTTGTAAAACTTGTCTAAATACGTTATCTCTACGATGATAACAAATCATCGAGCATTTGAATTTCATGCAAGAAATGTCCATATCGAATTTGTTACGTTGTTTTACGATTTCGAGCACGCATACGCAATTTATATGTATTACGTATAAAAAGAAGAGAAACTTTGTATTTTTGTGTTTTTGTATTTTGGTGCAAATTCACGTATCCTCTCGAAGCGATTCAAATTGCCTTCGATAACGTAGTATGTTAGACGATGTTAGACGCAAATTTTTAATAAGCAAAATCTAGTGTATCGTCTTGTGGAATGGCGAGTGCCGCGCGTGTTACGGTTTCGTATCTAACGAATATTTCACCGCTGTGTATCAAACGTGTTCGGTTGCAATTAAAAGCTTTCGTCTTTTCTTTTTTTGCGAAACAACCCGTTTAGATTTCTAGACGGTCATGAAATAAAACATCTACACACCGTAATTTACAGAGAAAAGTTCAGTTCTTTAATTGGTGGGCGCTAAAACGATGGAAAAGCGAAATGTATTTAAACGACTGATATTTTTTGCCGCTTGGTACCGCTTATAAAAACTGTTTTCAGGATAGTTATCTCGCACATTTACAGCATAGCAGTTTCTTTAAGTCGTGAAAACAGCATGGTAAAATGTTGATTCTGTGTTGAAAGAAATTTCATAGCAGATTATGCTTTGTACATTTCATTCGTTACTCTGTATTTTCCTTAATTTGTCCTTTCATTTTCGTTCTACGCGGTTGAGCGCGACCGTGTCTTCCTTTCCCTTGTATTATTACGTTCGATAGTAAACACTGTCAGCATAATTTAGAGGAATTTCTACTTATGCCTAATATTCTATATATTTTCATATTGTCGTCAGGCCAAGGTACCGACTGTACTGTACGTAGACCATCGTACGATGAATTTAAAAAGCTCGTAATGTTGCGATTACGAGAAAGTATAAAAAATAAGTCAGTTTATAAATCGTATCGTCGATTATCATCGGCAAATTACGATCATAAAATCGGCAGGTTAGTTCCATTTCTAACGAAATACTGGCGCCTCGTAACCACGTGGTCATCTTAAAACGACGACAAGTCGTGACGATCGATCCGATAGATAATAAATAACTCTTCGCTCGCCGTTTTTTTACGGAAATGGTCGTGTACCGTGCAAAACGAGTATAGAAATTTCAGCGTCTTTCGAACGAACGTCACAATAGTTCAATCAGTTTGAAAGATGGGCCAGCTTATTTTAGTATTCGTCGTGCAGCAGTCTAAGTTAACGTGATTTCTGTTTAGATCGACACCATTCAGAGACGTTTCCGTTCTCCGACTGGTGAGATTCGAGATTCTATCGAACGATGGTAGCTATCTTACGCGAATAGAAAGGCTACGTGGATGCAAAGCGAAATAATGAAAGGAAAGTACGATTGCGAGGTGAATAACTACCGGCGATGTCCACGATTCAGTTTCCCATGGTTAAAAACAGTTTGCTATTTGGGAATCTCTTTGAGAATCTCGAATGAATTTTACGTTTACCGAGCCGGATAACCGAATTCTACAATCGCAATGACGATGCCTCGAACCATGCTTCGATAAGCACGAACGATCATTTTCCGAGAATAAGCTAAATATTTTCTGCTAAGTAACGATTATTATCGTCGTTCGCATTCCAATTATCGTAGTAGCGTCAATTTTCGTCCGTATAAAGAACAAGTAAAACGAAAATCGACGAGATGCTACGGAAAAGTTACATGGAAAGCTGTAGATAAAAATTTCAAAGCGCAAGCAGTAGAAATAAAAGGAAAGAAACGAATTTCTTATTCGTTCCAATGGTAAGTTCCAAGGTAAAGTATCGATCGAAACTGTAATTACAGCGAGAGGCATTTAGGTTTTTGGAATATTTCGATCTTTGAATTATTCGATATACGAAGCTCCTACGTTTGAAATTCATATTTACGCAAGAAAATATTAAGCGAGGAGTAAATGTACATTGACAAAAATTGCTTGTACTTGTATTGAATTGAATTCGCTTAACAAAGAGATCAGTTCAACGCTGTTAGCGTTATCGGCACCTGGCAAATTAAGACGTATCGTGCTTAAATCTCTCGATCTTTCATCCTTGGTACTTCGTCGACTTTAAAAAATGCGCAGTAAAAAAAAATATGACGCATCATCGAGCATAACGACGGTGGAAATTGTGTAGCAACCAGATTGCGGCATCAAAATTCACGTTGCAAGTATTATTATTGCCTTCGATACAGATGCAAATATCAACAAGGTTATCGACGTAATAAAGACAGCGGAAAAGGCCACACGTTGACGCTTCGGTCTTCATATACATACACGCATCCTCGACTCTTCTCGTAAATGCCAGATGAAATCATGTTATACTTCTAACGTCCTGCTTCGACTCTCATGCATTATTCAAAAGCTAATTCTGTTCGAACAACCCACTGAAAACTAAATCAGACGAAACATTTGGTTAGGCGCGTGATGTATCAGCCGGATAAACGCATTAGACAGTCGATTCGGTTTTTCAATCGACGCATCGATCCATATACATGTAAAGAGGTTTCCAAGTCGATTGTAAAGTCGCAGAGAATATTTCAAGGTATCGGCAAATTATATGTAACATAAACTGTGCAGGGCGAAAACGGAATTAAACTATAATCATTGCATAACAACCTACTAATAATATCGGCGAATGTACAAGTTAGAAATTATTGGTCATCTGGGCTTTTCAGTTACAATTTTCTAATTCTATATCGACGATCAAATTTCTGCTAATTCGTAGAATTTAATTTCCTTTATTACTAAATTTATCGTCGTTATAGAACAAGATTTATCAATACCGATACTTCGTAACTGGCTAGTATTTACGTTGATAATATTATTTCAATTGTGCAAGTTAGGGCCCACGTACATACCTGCATATACAGTAAATAACAAAAACATAGACCGACTACTACGATGTACAGAGCATAGATTATTTATCTAAATTTCTTTCATCAAAAACCATGACGTTAACATATTTTTTGAAATCGACGCATTTGTAAGATTCGGTTTTTATTTCATAATACTTGTCTCTTGTTTATCGTGACCGACATAGATCGACTCTCGTTAATACCGAAATTCTAGCAAAACCAACGGTTCAAAACATTCAGAGTATACTGAAAAAATACAAAAAAATTGGTGTAATTCAAATGGACGACCGGAAGATCGATCGAGTATCTGACGATGGAAGTGGCAATTGAAAGAAAATAAATTCGGCCAGCATGGAGGTTGCTGACGCACGACCTTACACACAGTTAGGAAAGGATGGACTTGCAAAATGTATTTGACGGAAACCACTAAACGAGCGGAGATCGTGATACGAGGAAAATACGAGGATCTGAAAGGAAAGGTGGATCGATGAAGAGTACTAAAGCTGCCTTTTATAGCTGCCCTGACATAAAGCGAAGCTGAACGTTTATATTCGCGCTTCCTTCCACGCGTGTTTATGCGTTTGGTACGAAGCTTTCGTTATTCAAAGGTCTCCTTACAACCAATTACTCTCTTTTCCTTCTTCTTCTTCTTCTTCTTTTTCTTTTTCTTCTCCTTCCTTGGAAGATAAATGCAAGAAGAGTGTACGCGGATACGCGATTACACCTTGGAAAGACCAGGTTGAAGGCTATCGGAAGTTTTGCATAAACGACTGCTGGAGAAAATAAACGGTGAATCGTCGTTTTAATCTACCTTGTGGAACTATCTCGTCCTTATCCCTTGTCCAATAATTGATGGATTTAGGATAAGCCTCCGAGTGGCACTCCAGAGTCAACTGTTGTCCCTCCTGAGCGCCCACCAATTGATTCTGCACCGAAATCATGGGTGGAACTGGAAGAAGAAAGACGGATCTGCACATCGCGTAAATAAACGTTTGCTTTTCCCTTCGCGTTCGCTTAGCTTTTGCATTTTATCGCCGTGGCTGATAAATTGCGGACGAATAGTAGAAAGCACGACATAACGATGGAACGACTTGATTCAAGTTTTTTTGCTAATTAATCATGTCCAAAATAGAGAATAAGAATTTGAGAAGATTCGCTTTAAATTCTTTCGCTATGGTGGTTTTAAAATAAGAGAGATCTTTTGATATCGAAATTAATAATCCGTTAAGCGGACTGTCCCTGTTTCATATGTACGTACTTAATCGTGGAATTAAAAGATAACGAAGTCAAATTAATTCCGATCGAGTCGCTCTTGATCCTTGCAAATATATATATATATATATATATATATATATATGTGTGTATGTATATATGGAACAGGTTAATTTTACGCGAAAGACAGGTAAAAAGATAGATGGTTTCTAAGCAAAGAAATTATTCAAGTATTCAAGAAATTCGGAATCTCAGTGACGTGTTAACGCGTCTTATCGGATTATTAGACTAATAAGATACGGAGTTGAACAGCTAAATGCTTTGCCTACTTTGATCATTAAATATATTTTTCTTCTAATATGGATATGAATGGTAATATTAATTACGGCATTGTATGGTATATATTGCACGAGTGGAGATAAAGATATTTTTGTATTATATGGCACGTGTTTTTCAGCAAATAATTACTTATCTTATATTATATTGTATTAATGTACGTTGCTCGATGTATGTATATACATAGCGAAATTCCAATAGCGAAAGAATCAAAGGAGATTTTAATCGGCTATTGATGATATGTACTTACATTGAACAGTCAGCATAATTCTTTTACTAACTGATGGTGGCACGCCATTCGATGCGATGCAAAGGTAGAAGCCCATATGTAACCGATTTACTTTAGAAATGTTAAAATTTGGTCCTTCGACACTCTGCGCTGTAAAATAAATTTTAACGATAGTTAAGCTTAACTCGTTCGAGCGCACGCTAAACGGTATACGGTATAAATCTAATCTTTACATGGAAATTGGTATCCGTTTTTAAATATAACGTTTTCTAACGTTACTTAAAATTCAAATATTTTAAAATAAGCTGTCGTATAAAATTATATTTTGTTCAATAAAAGTCAACATTGCTTTCGTCGTATCAAGCATCCGCACGTTTTTACGAATTAGAAAAACAAAAAATCTGAAACCTTGCATTGTCTTTGCGTTCTACTTTATACCATAAATTTGATAAAATGTTAATAATACGATTTCTTCTGATCTTATTGGATAAAAAAAGAACTGAAACCGACAATGCCCTGTTACCTGTAAGTTGGACATTCAAAAATAATAAGTATTTCGGAAGCGAAAGGACGGAAGAAGGAGAAAGAAGTCGTCGATATCGGTAGAGATGAAATTATCCATGAAAATGTAGTAATATGGAAGTAGTAGCGGATGGTATTGCACCACTATGGTAAGTGACATTCCCTTCATATTTTTTTTTTTTTTTATTCTTACTACAGCGTCTTGTTGCTAGAACATTCTGAGAAAATTTGATCAGAAAATGCTGGAACACAGTGTACATGGCAAAAGAAACGAATTTTTACATATAACGTATCTCTTCTTGAAATTGATATTTACGTACGCTATTTTCGATTAAACAGATTTCACATATAGAGTGGCGTGATACTGCTCGTTGAAGCTTCCTGAATGTACGCCTTTTTTCCGGGAAGTTTCGGTGAAGTTACACTTTCAGACAGTTTGGTATACGAGCATGAAGTTTTTGAAATGGGCTAGAACAACTTTTTCAGCGTCAGTATATTTCCCGGCAGTACTACCTGCAATACGATGAAAACTACGTCGAAATTTTCTCCTATAATTTGTTTTGCAAAGTAATCAAAAGCATAGCTGAGTTCACAAATTTTCTCCCCAATTTTAATATAATTTTTAAAGTCACATTTTTTTTCCAATTTCACAGAGTATTAATTTTTATTCAAAGCGATAGATAACATCGAAAAGTGTAAACTGTATCGTGAATAATATACATATATATACATATCGAATGTCGAATGTTTTTAACGGAACGTCATCGTAAAGAACGTAAAGTAGCGCAAAACTTCAAATTCGCAGTCGAACGCTGAAAGGTTTTGGAAAATTCGTCTGTCTGAAAAAACAAACTTTTCTCTTAATTGCTTTACATATATTATTATATATTATATACATGTATCGTATAAAATCTAATTTAACGATATCTTGTGGATTATGCGATTACATAAAAACATAATAATTTAAAAACTTTTTACTACCTAAACGAGGAATTTCTCACATTTATCATTTAATACCCGATTACTTGATCTTTTTATTTAATGTCAGCCTTTGTTCGTTTATCGATTTATATCGAATATATTATATCGTATAAAATTAATTTATTTCTTTGTTTCGCTATTTCTGCGTTCAGCGAAATTGTTTCTCTGACGGAACGCAAACAATTGTTTAAAGTCTAAATCTCGCGTGTTGCGCTACTAGAAAATTAGTTTCGACAGCTATATAAAATGAAATTTTTCGTTCATATGGTCAAAGGTCAAACGGATATTTGCAGGAAACAGACAACCGGCAGTAACACAGTTTTGGTGTTGTCTTGTCCAGCTACAGGTCGGCAAATTCAGTTTACTTATCCGAAAGTCTGGGTAGTCTACGTACGTCGTGTAACCACGATTAAATCTAGCGGAATATTTGTGCCCAGCTAACAAACTGAACGACGTCAAATACGAAAGAACGAAAACTGGCCGAAACCTAACGAGTAACCAGTGACCAGCCCAGCCCTTCGTTACATTTCTTGCGAAACAAATCGCAATTAATCGGTCACGCGGCTCACGCGTTTAAAACGTTTTATCATTGAATTTCGTTTCGACGAAATTTCCAGAGCAATATCCCACTACGATTTCCGAATTCGATGCATCCGAATTTGTCGACCACTCGAGAACAAACAGTTTACATAATTGCAGTTCGTATAGTGAAAGTTGGCCGATTTTCTTCGCTACCTATCGTTTTTCGTTTACACAACAGGAGGTCACGTTCGGATAAGCGAATTAACCAGCATAAAATTTCAATTAATCTGGCATTAACTAAAATTTTGTTCCGATAAATGTCGTTCAAATGGATAGAGTACTACCGTAGATACGCGTTATAATACAATATTGGACTTATTTAAATATTATAACGTCTGAAATTTTCTGCAACGATAGGTATGCGTTCGCTATCGTTCCGTGTATCTGAAAATACGATGGCGATGTTATTGTTGGCAGACTATGAGATGTGGTGGGATATGGAACAAAGTGAAACAACAAAATAAAATAACAAAAAGGATAAAAGGGACAGAAGCAAGAAAAGTTTTATAAAATCTAAAAGCGCACGAAACAATATAAAAACTTCTTTGCTATAAAACTTGATTAAGTATTTGTTTAACAAATTTGTTGTAACAACGTTTCCGCGTTGGTGAGGTAAAAGTAAAGTAAACATTAACGAATTAAATGTAAAATATAAAATGCAAAATGTAAAGTGTAAAATGGAAAGTAAATTATAAAGTAAATAAGACGGTGGAAAATTACTTTTATTAAATTATCTTTATGAAACGAAAGCTTACGAAGAATATATGGTAACTTATTCGCGAAAAAATGAAAAACAACGCTCTGTATATCGTCCGAACGACGATAATGAGCTGAGAAAGAATACCATTTATATATATTTATGTAGATGAAACACCATTTATCTAAAAATAAAATAGATACGTGAAACGTTTAAATTTTCGATAAAAACCCTAAAGACTTTATATCACTAACACAAATATAATGTCGCGAATAATATTGGATTCTTTTTGCGAAGTATCTATTACTACTAGCAGCGTGTAGAAAACGATATTTCACTGTGCCTCGGTGTTTCCCTTTGTCCCGGTTCTGTCTACTTTAGTTTTGAGCTAAATAAATAGTATCTTTAAACAACATTTACAGACCGACGTAAATAGCAAACAGCGTAAATATCGCGATAAAAGCTTTAAAACGATATGCGTATTTATTTTACTTTTTACGAGGAACCTTATTTCAATCGTCTTCCAATCAAATAGATTATAGTTCTCGAAAATCATTTCTCGAATCGAAACAAATCCTTCGTACAGCCAAATTTTCTATTGAAATCTTAAAGAATCTAAAAGAATAAAATACAGCCTTCGCTTTTGCACTCTCGATCTTTGATCTCGTTGATAGCGAACAATCTATTGTACGACGATCGAGACGGGCCTCGATCTTCGAATTACAATGAGAAGCCGAATCGGTCGTAATTCGTTTTATCTTTGCGAGCAAAGAGAACGTAAGTCGTAGATAATAAAATAAAATTAGGGGACGAGTCATCGACAGCTACGATCGAATACGTACTTATCGCGTAATCTCTGATCGCCGTATCGATCGCTCGGAATATTCATCGATGGAATAAGTTGGAAAGGAGAAGAAACGGCGAGGCTGTAGCAAATATACGTTGTACTAGATAAACGTTATTGTCTCAATTTATTTTGCAAGTTACTAGTACTTGTCTCATATTTTCATTTGAATAATTGAAACGATAGAAGCGAGTGTTTTCTTGCTTACGAATGAAATATTTGTCGCGTATTTGATTAACGAAAGTGAGACATTTACGAGAAGCGAAGTTGATCGATTTCGCTTCTGACAGACTCGTATCGTCGATCGCTCGTTGATCGTTATTTAAGATACGAAAGATGAAATTACATAGCGGGCAAGGTGGTGGCGTTTGAACAAACGTCGGTCACAACCCATTCGGTGTTTCATTGTCGGACGCAAAAGTCAGCCACGCGAAACTCGGTACGCATAGCAATCTGCCGGTGTTTGCCAATTTCAATGCAAATATAGCAGATCTTCCCCACCTATGCAAACGTATCACCAGCCTCTAACCTATTGGCCTTGCTCGAACGCGGTGTGTTTGCTCTCACTGGAGATTACAAGACTCGGTTACAGCGAATCTGGCGAATATGCTTCTGCAGCTTAACACCGGTACTTGAAAATCTTCAGTTTGCTCATACAGAGTGAAAGTTGTTACGCGATTGCATGATTACGCGATTACACGAAACGTAATGCTTGTAACGCGTACCGACACTTGTGGATAAGCGTAAACATTCGAGTATAATGCACGATATCGCTGTCGCGCATATGTCGATGAATTTTCTACGCGATGTAATTGAACGCGCGACTAGATCGCAAAAATATTGGCTTTCGAATAATTAGATCGAACGGAATAACCGATGATAGATAGCGAGTTTTATCTTTAACGATAAATTCACACTTTCATAGCATCCTTCCTGTTTCTTTATCCGAGAGTCAATTTGATTCTTCGCGAAGAGATTATTGCGCAGAACACTGTGCATTCTTTGTTACGACTTTTCGAAACTTTGTTTCAACGGTTTTAAAAAATTAATAAACGATAGAGTAGAGAAAGTAAAGTAAAATAGGGTAGAGAAAGAATTATGAAAATTGTTAGAAATTGTGAGCTTTTTAACAATCAAGATAATATCGATGTCACGTATTCGTTGTATCGTTTACGATATTACTTTTGTTCATGGATGAATTTGAAACTATTTAAAATGTATTTTTTGAATTATTGGTCAACGTAAACTCTGGTAAGGATTAAACCGACCTTTTCGTCCATTTGCCAAGGGTATTAATTGGCCATCCTCGCGTCGCCAGGTGATGTTAGGTGCCGGTGATCCCGTCGCTTCGCAGTGCAAAGTCACTTTACTGCCTTCTGGTACCACCATGTCTGTGCTCGTTGAATAGTCCAGAATATTTGGAGGAACTTGAAAAAATAAAGGTAGATAGAATTGTCACGCGTGATACTATTACATCTGCGTCATACAATACAAATTATGCGAGACTTAAAATACTTTATCGAATCTTGAAATGATCGTGGCGAATGCGAAGAAAAATCCTCGGCTTAGAGCGATGTATAACGATACATTTCATACAATTATTGGAAGAAGCAATTTAGAACATTCATCTAACAAAATCGGACATTTAATACGTTGCGCGTTACAACTAATATTAGGAATTTACAAACTGAAATATAGAGATAATAGTACTTTTCGATTTCGATATCGATAATGATTATTTAAAGAAAACTTTGAACTCTTTCCTTCGACTCTTTAAACGAATAATTTATTTTTGGACAGAAAAACGACACGACGTAAAGAGTAAAATAATAGTTTCACATAAATTAATAATTAATAATTGATTTCGTGAAACCTTCTGGAGAGCTACGAAGAAGGAAAATAAAAATTTTACGAACAGATCAATGTTATCGCTTTTAACGTTAATTCAAAGATCTCGTATTATATTAAACGTTCTATCGACATATCGATACATTATATTAAAAACATTTAAATTCTCTGGATCTATGCACTATTTTTAATAATAATACGCGCGTTAAATGCGACGAAATCTTTTGACTTTGAAATAGCTCCTGCGCTTATAATATCGTAGCTTCTCTCTAGTTGCAAAATACGTCTGACAATAAACGATCCGTTTCCCTTTGCGACCTATTTCTCACTGCTATGCATTATATCCCTCTTTTCCACTCTGACAACTTACACGTTGCCAAGTCATATCCTGTTTCCAGTGCGCGTCATATCACAAATTGCGTTGAAGAAAAAATTTCCCCGATTAACCGAAGATTATAGTTTTATCGCTAATATTGTTTCAGCCCCTTGAATTATACGGCAATCTGTTTCCCCTGAAAAGATAAAAGACTAACCACTCTTAGAAAAATGTACTCGTTATCCGGATATGGCAATAAAGTAATTTTATATATAGAAGATGATGTAAAAGTTGTAGGTTTACTTGATATAAACTAAATCAAATAACATTTAACCGAGTATCTTACGAATTTAAATACATTTTCCTCACACTGGACGAAACAACGACGAAATTGTTGCACAGTAAGAGTCAGGTTTAAGGAATTTTAATTTCCATATCTTTTTCTGTAACAGCCGCGCGATTTGTTCACGCAATTGGGGTATTTTACAGAGTGCACGACTTTATTACGTATTTATTATTTTATCGCGTAAATTAAAATTGGCCATATCTATATTTTTAACGTAAAAAGGATGTTAGTTTTTTGACACGGTTTACGATTGTTGCGGTTTGATACCGTGCATGGACGGCGCTTAGTATCGTTTAGGGGTTTTTTTTTTTAGAGTTTCGCGCCTAGCTCTCAATCTTCTACGTATGCATCGTAAAGCAGAAATTCCAAAGGGTCAGTTTGTAACGGTAAAAGTTTGGAGAATTTCTCCGCCGCGATGTCGCTAAAAAGTAGCCACCACTCATCACCGCGGAAAATTGCCCACCCCTGGATAGGAGCTCGTGGGAAGGGAGAAAGCGACCTATACAAGACACGCTGATTGGTAATTTGATTTCGTGAAAACTAGCCAATCAACGTGTATTAATAATTAATAAGGCAACGTCGGCTTTATAAGCGGAACGAGGACTTGCCAGGACAGAGAGAAACAAAGCTGTCGAATATAAAACATTTATATAAAATTCTCCGTGATGATATCATTTAACAAAGATATCAAGAAAAATACATTTTTTAACGTGTATATAGATTTGTATCGACGATAATATTGCACGAAAAACATTTATCTTCCTGTACAAGATAATCAGAGGAAAAAATACATTTACATCGTAATAAAAAAGTATCATTAATTTCTAATAATTAATACCAGAAGTTCCATCTAAATTTACAAAAAACAACGATTGTCTCTAACAAATGCGTATGTTTCAAGAGGTTAATAATTAAAAGTTACGTTCGACCGATAAAAATAAACGTATCGTATTTATCCTGGTTATGTTAAAATTTGTAAAAGTTTAAAAAGATCCACGCGATAATTTAGAACAACTAGTTAAAAACGTCGGGTTTAAAATTATTTTGTTTATTCGCAGTGAGTATTCTTTGTACGTTCGTGGAACAGAAAATTGTCATCTCTGTGATATTCGCGACAAAAGAAATCGGAATTTCGGTCAAAGGGTAAGCACACAACCCGCGCGCGCACAGAAGGCTTCTTCGAACATTCGTGCCATTCGAGCTGACGTATCCTTTTAAATCTACGTGCAGACGTATATCCAAGATAAGAAGTATGAACTCGCGATTACGTTTGCTTCGTAATTCGGTTTCCAACAGTTACGATACCTATAGAAACGTAGCAAATTTCATTTAGAATCGTACGAGTCGATCTATGGAACAGCTGCGAGTTTATCGCTTAAACGAATAAATTTCTTTCATAATGCGGAAGCTTCTTTTGTCTCGATGCTCGTAATTTCGCCTGCAGAGAATTCAGATTTATTAGCATCGCTATCTTAATTTCAAGTAGTCGTAAATTATTCTTTATAATTCCGAGCCATGATTCTACCATCGCATTCCACGTCTCCACCTTTGTCGAGTACCGACATTGTGCCGGAGAGAACGTTTGATACTTTTACAAGCGCAGTTTCTAGCTTTGTATTGTACATTTTGTATCGTTTCTCGTAACGGGGTCAGCAGGTGTTTTGCGGAAATAAAATTGCAACCTGTTTTCAGTTTACGAAACATAAATTCAGATTTATCAGCGGTAATGATCTGTTACGTCGGATCATAAACATACGTGTCTACGTGATTCGTTTTACGATATTGGACGATGTATCGTCGGTAAAACGTTTAGCATTATCGCAGTAATAGTAACGGTACTTCTGCATTTTACCAATTTATTTCATGGTTAAATAGATAACAATTTTAGGATAACAGGACTCGTTTCGTGCACGAAGAAACATTCAAGGGAATATATGTTAAATTTATTATTTTTTATAATTAATCTCCTTTTTTTTCGTGAGTGTATAATATAAAAATATGTATGAAGTGAAACCAGTAAATACGAACCTCCAGATATACGCGTATAAGCGATAAATTCGCAATTTTCAAAGATCGTATAACGAAGAAAACGTACGAAAATCGTTGCAAAGGTGCGAAATCGTCCGGTCCACCGGTTATTTTTACAAGTTGACATCACACTGACCCCGTGCCATCCAACATCGCATTAGGTCATGCGTGACGTCCCGCATACAAGGAGATCTGAATCTCCATCGCCTCTGTTCTTGCGTGACTACGTGTTTGTATTTAATCGAGAATTATTAATTAATACACGAGAGAATGTTTTCTTTCGGCGTATGAAGAGCCATACAAGCGCGTTCATAAAACCGTAACACCTTTTAGCCTTGTATCTACACAATCATCGTACATGCGGAGATTTGCTTGCTATTACGTAAATTTATGTGATTCGTGTGTGTATCGCGTAAGGGGCGGGCTTTTCCAGAAAGAAAAAAAGAAAAAGATATAGGAACGTAGAACCAGCAACTTGATACGGCACATTCCGAGGGAAGAGTAAATTTAAAAGTATAGAAACGCGTAAAACTAGTAACTTGATACGGCACATGTCGAGGAAAGAGTAAATCTAAAAATATAGAAGCGCGTAGAACTAGCAAGCTAATACAGCAAATTTCCGGAATAAGTTAGAAAAATAAATTAAAAGGATAAATTAAAATAAATGTAAAGTATACGCATATATTGTATATTAAAGATTAATTATTTATTAAAATGTACCTTTAATATCATTCTGAGGTATTTAGAATTTATGATATCGAAGCGTTCATACAAGTAAGAAGAAAGTCATATAGAATAGCGAGATAGATTTTTATGAATTATTTATCAATTATATCTGGTGTCCACACAGACTGGTTGACGTTAATAATTATAATATTACAGCTATTATAATACAGCTTGATAATTTTACTTTTTTACCTAATATTTAAACGAATAAACATGTTTCTGGTTATACAGTGATTACTATACATTACTGTACTGTATACTGTACGATATATATGTATGTATAAGGTATTACGTACGAGATGTATTATGTAAGCGTATTATATAGAGTAAAAATGAAAATTGTAAAGTCAATATCGCGTTGAAATACTATGATAAAGCGTAATCTTCGCTTTCTCGTTTCTTTTCATCGTCCATGTTATTATCGTGTCGTACTACTTGGCCAGACATCAATTTTGTTATCACCCAGCGGTACTGTTTAGCACCGGAGCGTCATAAGCTTCGAGCGAACACGTGTCAGCCTCGCTACGTAAAACGAAACACAACGAGATTCATAAAATGACAAACGGGGAAATCAATCGGTGTTCCATTCGGTGGCCGGAAATTCGTGTTCGCGTGTACATACGGTCGGCGTTCCCGTATTTTCGAAGCGATAAATCTATCCCTCTCTCATTCGCATTCCGTTTACGGAACGAGTTTCACCGGTTGTCGTAACACTTAACGCAACAATAACGTGCCCCCGAGTTACACTCAACGCCGTCCACGCCGGCTAAGTATATCTGTTCAGCCATAAATTCTACTACGTCGTACGCGCATTCGTTCATACGGCGCGTATATTACACGGACGGGAGTAAAATACACGGCGGATAACTCCGTGCATTCGCGTAAGCGAAGAGACCGTACGATACGCGTAATAAAGAGGAGAACGATAACGGTAACCGACGCAGCTACAACATCAACGGAGACAAAATCGTAACGGATCCCCGTGAATCTCCTCTGGCCCCGAGACTTCCAGTTGGAACAATTAAAATCCGGCTCTTTTAACTTGACCTCCGTGTGTCTCCTGTCCAACGGGGTGACTCTTCAAACCCCAAACGCACCGCCGTTTACTTTTGTCGACAACGGAAACGGGCTTTGCATTTAGCTTGCCATTTGCGGAACCGAGA